GTCACTCCCAGTTTTGGAGATGTTTGGGGTGTGTCAAATGCTAGCAGCGACACTAGGAGTAAATGATGGCTTGTTTAACAACGAGTGGCCGCATGAACTTTTGAAGGGAGCGAGATGGCTTATGGTGGAACTACTTTCGTCAGAATATTCACTAAATTGTTTCTTCTTTCACGCTTTACTTCCATTTTCTTGTTAAGTCTTCATGTAAATGTGTTTTGTTATGATCGTTTCAACGTTGCTTAATCGCCCTAAAGTTTTTGGTGTTGGTTATGATATCGTTCCATTTGAATTTTCCGACTTTTTTTGTGGCTTTAGCTACCTTAGCCTAGAACATTTCATTGATGAGCTCAATACGCAGTTTTGGCTCAGTGACGTCAAAGCACTCTGACCAAGCGATTGGAAGGCAGCCTTTTAGAATCAAGGTAGAGGTGCAGTGGTGTTGTGATAAAAAAAAGCCGTGAAGAACAGGCTAGAACCCTAGAAATGGGACCCCGCACAGGTGTGACTCACAGGTGTGCTGTTCTCTCCAGGGTTGCGCACGTCTTCCGCACGTCACGGTAAGATCCCTTGACGATGCGTGCGTCCCTTTCGGGATGGTTTCACACTTGTTACCAATCATAAGATAGTGGAGCAGTGGTGAAAAATCGCGAAAAACTATTTTCTAAGGAATACCAAACGGCGAAGGCAAAACGCATGGAAAGATCGTCTGATGCCCATACTGCACATTTGCTAAGCTCCTAGCGTGATAGGCCTGCAGTCACTCCCTCTTTTTCGGAGCAGGTTGGGAAACTTTCCATGGCACCTACGGCAGGTTTCGATCCTTTTGACAGGTTTCGATCCAATTTGGAATTCAGACACACGATCACCGTACGTACCAAAACGCATATGGTGTCACGCAAATATCCCATACAGTGACCACTTCGACCTGTTACTTTTTTCTCAAGTACTAAAAAGAACGTTTCATGTAGCATAGATGATGCGACCTTGTTTCCAGTCTGAATCTTCTTTCCGAATCCCCATCAAATGTATGCGTCGACCGCAACATGACCTTCGATTTAACGTTTACAATGCTGACGAGAATAGTCTACAAATACAGTAACCTTGTGCGTCAGTTCGGTTATTTTTTAAGTATTCAAATACATAGTTCATCATAGTTAAGTTATTGCTTTAGTCTCTCGATGAATTGGTAACAGATCCAAGAGGTGGTCCGGACAATACTGCGTGTGCATTGTGAGTCTCTGCTCTTTATCAACATGCAAACTTTGCTCGACATATGCTAGTGTATATGTTGCAGTTATCAGTGGTCATCACGTTACGTAAAACGAATATCTTCTCACGGACAGGAGTCGTTCGAGAATGACGTACCTCTCGTTCCTCCCGAATTGAAAGCCGCTTATAAGGAAAGAGTTCTTCGTCTGAAAGAGCGACAGCTTTTCTGGGATCCTGTAGTGTAAGTGTTCGCATAACAGGTGCTTAAAAATGTGCGATCATCTTTTTTCCTCAGATGTAATTACGGGCAGTTGTTGCATGAAATGCCCATCGTAGGGGAGGTCATCTTGGATTTTTTTAAAGACAGAAAACATATCGAGGAGGATGTTTCGGTTAGTTTCAATCTAGCTCTGCTTTCTGGTGAACTCAAAATCAACAGAAAATACATTAATTTCAGCGCATTTTCGCCGCCTTTCGTAAAGCCAATTGTCTGCTTGTCTGCATTATTCAGTGGTTGGAATGTCAGGTGAGTGTTGCATTTTTTGTTTTTGGTTTCGAGTCTTCTTACTCTCTACCCCGCTGGGGACCTTATGTGGATTCTCAATTTTTCCTCAGATTTTATCATGCCTGAAAGGAACAGTAGGTTTCTTGGCCATAAATAACAAAAAAATTCGTTCAATTCATTCAGCAAAGCGGCTGTTCTATCAGCGCTTTGGATTAGCTGCAGCCAGAGACACACGAATCCAAAACATCGCTCTCATGGATTCTCTAGCTTCTACTGTTTTGGATTGCCACCAGCCCACCGGTACCCCCATTCATGTCTTGTTCTATGACACTTTTTAACCCTGTGGACTATGATAACTTGTGAGTAGCAGTAGAAGACATTAGGTTGGAAACCTCAGTCGTGGCTTCACCTGAAATTGTGAGACATGCCTAGAATAGCCTATGTGCCAGCATTCTTTAACGACACCTCCACGATTAGAACTTCCAAACCACCTCGTAGCTCACCCAGTCGGCCCTTCAAAAGACCTCGTCTCCACCCTATAACTATTCTACGACCGCTCACCCGAGACACATCCTACCCCAAAGCAGTACTATACATATCGTGGTGCATCAGTAGGGGAAAGAATCCGAACCGCT